AGGCTGGCTCCCGGCTCACAGCACGGCTTGGAGATGAGTAACGCTGGCAGTCGACTGTTTTTAATGCCGAAGCATATGAGTTATCCTACGAAACTGTAGGAAGCAATTATGTAATTATTCAAGAGGGTTTAGGCTGCTGAGTACTGTGTGACAGTTATCTGCAATCTCTCCCCATTACAGCTTTAAATCTCGTGCTGTTTACATCGTGAGTTCAGATGCTAACTTGCAGAGCATCCAAGTAGACCCAGTCAAGTCAATACAAGAAAAGCTTAAACGTTCAAGCCAGTTCCTGTATTAATGGAAGTAAAAAACTTGGGTAAGATCTGTAAAGGTACTGGGATATTCTAGCTTCACTTTAAGCAGATTTTAGATGCATAACAAAAATAAAACAGAAAAACCACACACTAGTTTCATCTCAATGTGCATTAGCAAGGAAATTTTAAGTGACTCAAGTCCCAGTGCTACCAAAACCCACCATTTTGCCCGAGTCAGTCCAATCCAGTTGACTCACTACAGTCAGGATACATGCACAGTGGCAAGATTAAATGCACCCATAAAACAAAGCACATGCCACCATATAACCTTTGCAGTTTGTTTGTTTTTTTAAATAAGTTAAAACTGCAATAGTACATTTTCCTTTACACAGCAGGTTAATGCAGAGCTCTTCAAATATCAGTTTATAAGCCCGAGTGGCCCACCAGCAGTACTTCCAAATATGTCCATACGACAGACAACTGTTTGCAGGAGACACCAAAAATGCACACAGGAACCAGCGGATACCTCAAACTCAGTACAGTACAAGTGTATTAGAAAATGGTGGGGAGGAACCCTGCAGGACTTCCACTCTCCCGTTTCTAGGTCAAGAGAGGATAGGTAGATACGTGGCTAGTTTCCAGCTTTGTTTTACAGGCTATTTGGCTATACCCACCTGACCAATTTTTTATTATTTACATTTCACCAGTTTCACCCAGTGAAGGGTAGCCTGACACCCCGTTTGGTTATGACACACCTGGAATGCAGGGACTGTCTCCACATCCTTTAATACACATCTTTAAGACAATATTTTGTTCTGACTATTTCGGAGAAGGCAGGATTTTTCCAGCCCCCCTTCCCTCTCAAGCCACAGTCATACAAAAATACGGGTACTATGTGGTAGTGGTCAGAGCAAGACACAAAGAAAGCGAGCCAACAGGTGTTCCACGTCACAGCCACACTTGTAGCTCTTTTTCTGGAAAAAGTTAAGCTGAACAGCCTAATCTTCCACTCCCCCTTCAACAGCAGTTGAAAGGAACAGGTCTAAAGAAAACTTCACAGATTCACAGAATGGTTGGGGTCAGAAGAGACCTCTGGAGATCATCTGACCCACCTGCTCAAGCAGGGTCACCTAAAGCACATTGCCCAGGACCATGTCTAGTCAGGTTTTGACTAGCTCCGAGGCTGGAGACTCCACAGCCTCCCTGGGCAACTTGCTCCTGTGTTCAACCACCCTCACACTGAAAAAGTTTCTTCTTATGTTTAAGTGGATTTTTCCAGTTTGTGCCCATTGCTTCTAGTCCTGTCACTGGGCACCAAGGAGAAGAGCCTGACCCTGTCCTCTTAACACCCTCCCCTTCAGATACTTATACACATTGATGAGATGCCCCCTGAGCCTTCTCTTCTGCAGGCTGAACAGGCCTAGTTCTCTCAGCCTCTCCTCATACAAGAGATACTCCAATTCCTTCCTCAGCTCCACGGCCCTTTGTTGGACTTGCTCCAGTAGCTCCATGTCTTTCTTGCACTGGGGAACCCAGAACTGGACATAGCACTGCAGAAGTGGTCTCATCAGTGCTGAGTAGATGGGAAGGATCACCTCCCTCAACCTGCTGACAATGCTCTGCCTAATGCAGCCCAGGAGGCTGTTGGCCTTCTTTGATACAAGAGGAACCCCAGGTCCTTCTCTGCCAAGCAGCTTTCCAGCCAGTTGGCCCCAGCATGTACTGGTGAATGGGGTTATTCCTCCCTAGGGGCAGGACTTCACACTTCCCTTTGTTGAACTTCATGAGGTCCCTCTCTGCCCATTTCTCTAACCTACTGAGGTCTCTTAATGGGTGCATTCAGTCGGTCATCCAGGTCATTAATGAAGAGGCTAAACAGTATCGGATCTAGTGTCAACCCCTGGGGGTCACCAGCAGGGACTGATCTTCAGCTGGACTTTGTGATGCTGATCACAACCCTCTGAGTCTGGCCAGTTTTCAGTCCACCTCACTGTCTACTTACCTGGCCCATACTTCTTCAGCTTTTCTGTGAGGTGTTATGGGAGACAGCTTTAGAGAGGTTTTTGACACCGAGATAAACAACATCCATTGGTCTCCCCTCACCCACCAAGGCAGTCATCTTGCCACAGAGGACTATCCAGTTGGTTAAGCACAATGCCCCCTTCATAAATCTCTTGTCCAAGGGATTTACTTGTCCAGCTTGTCCAAGAAAAGCAGATTTAGAGGTTAGCACCTCCAAGTGATTTACTACCGCAGTCTCCACTTCTACAAAATACCCTGTCCACCAGATAATTGAGGAAGAAGGGAACAGGAGCATCCTCCATCTCTACTGCTGAAGACAGAACAGTTTGAAGGAAGTCAAGATGACTAGAAAATAAATAGAAAAAGTGAGATAACCTGGCTTTATAGGCTAGTGAGGAGGGCAGTGCCAAAAAATATGGACTAGTTCCATGCCTTTCTCACTTGAACAAGGCACAACTGAAACTTCTGCAACTGCCAGAATGCTTTCATGCTGAAAATAAAATGTCAATAGGAAAACAGCATAGATGCTGTAGTATTTTTCAAGATGATTTTATTAATCTCTTGTCCTTCCAAATGGTATTTTT